AATCAAAAATTTTCAAACTCAATAATAGTCCAAGTGTATAAAAGGGACAAAAGAGCTCTTGAGACTTAATTTATTTACTTCGGATTCCAAACTTAGAAATATGATTGGATACGTGTGTCGTGAGAATTCAGTAGCCTGGGGGGCAAATCTTCAGAGAGTTACATTATCTCAGCTGTTTCTCTTCTGCTTCTGGGGTTTTTTTCCCTCCACAATTCCAGAAAGTGTGTTTCTTGAGCCCCATTCTTTACTCCAGAGTTCAGCTGGAATCCTTCACTATATTTGATGTGATCATTTAAAATGTTATTTGGTGAAGGTGGTTCTAGCTCTTGCTACCAGTAGCTAAATGCAATTATGATATTGAACTGGGTAAAGCAATAAAACCAGAAATTTCTTCTCTGCAAACTGTCTCCTCTCCCTTCAATACAGATAGTCAGAATTTCCTGGAAAAGAAAAGGAAACCATTCTCATTGCCAAGTAACCTAGAAACATTCTCTATTTCTTTAAAATTCATTTTTAATGACCTGAATCATTGATATTTTCTAACTATGAAAAATAAATAAATATATTCTCTGTCACCAGCCCCTGTGTATAGCATCTTCCATCAACATTTTATAATATTCCTCTGCCCATTATGCCAAAAAATTGTTACTTATTGTATAGTTGTAAATATACAAAAATGTGCAAAGAATAAAGGTTATAATTTTAAATTATATTAATAGAGATTATCTCCGGGTGGGATTCTAGATTATTTTCATCTTCTCTATTTTCCAAATGTTCAGTAATGTTAGTATATTACTTTCGTAATCAGCAAAAGATGTTTTAAAATCATTTTATACAATTTTGTATTATATGTCTTATGATCACAACTATTTCAGAATATCTAACAAAATATATGGACCCAAATATACACACACACACAAAGGAATGTTAATAGTGATTATCTAGGGGTGATAAATTGTGGGTAGTCACTCTCTCATGTGTATTTTTTAAATTTTCCATAATGATAACAAACTATTTTATTATAGAAGATGCTATTATAAAACTCAAGAGTACAGAATAGCTTTGAGGAACATATATTTACCCATACCATAAAAATATTTATTGTGTTTTACTTCTATTTTACTTTCAGAATTTCATAGGCTACAAGACACCCCCTACAGAATAAGCCACCTGGTACCCAACCAGATATAATAAAACAGGCAGAAGCAGAGAGGTGACATATTAGGACTGTTTTGTCACGCTGCATGTGTCACAAGAGAGCAAGGACTGCTTTAATTACTAGTCATTTGAATTTCTGATAGATATTATGGCAAAATTTAAATCTTGTTAATTTACTTTGGCAGCTTGACAACGGGTTCATTTACAATCCTTTGAGGGAATTGCAAATTTACCATTGCTTTTGATTTGGGGTGAGGTGGCATTATTCATATAAGAGCATGTGGTGGAATTCAGTGCCTAACATTAGTCAGAATATGTTTTTAACCCATCAGAAGTTTCAGTCATGGGTTTTTAATGTTTGGAAAAAATTTTACAGTAAAAAATAATCAGTTATAAACATATAAAAATTCAAATGGGGTCCAACACTGATATTTATACCTTTTTACGCTAAAATTTTACGATGGGGATATTTTTATATAAGATAAATGCTAAGTTATTTTGACCCCTACTGGAAATCTTCCAGAATTCTCTTGACTTCTACTAGGAACAGTGTAGTTCTCTAAAAGTTAACCTTTTTCAGTGTTGTACACTGAAATGTACACTCCACAATGTACACTCCACAAAATGTACACTCCACAAACACTGGACATTACCTTGTCTTAACTTTTTCTCTGTCTAGACCCCCAGTCTGGCACCATGAGCATTTGGAATGCAGAATGGTCTCCATGTCTCAGGAGTGGGCACAGCTAGAGCCCAGCCCAAGTCAAGCACAGGAAAAAATGTGTGAAAAGATTCAAAGGTATAGGCCTGGCGTGGTGGTTCACGCTTGTAATCCTAGCACTCTGGGAGGCTGAGGTGGGAGGATCACTCAAGGTCAGGAGTTTAAGACCAGCCTGAGCAAGAACGAGACCCTGTCTCTACTAAAAATAGAAATTAATTTTCCAACTAAAAATATATAGAAAAATTAGCCAGGCATGGTGGCGCATGCCTGTAGTCCCAGCTACTCGGGAGGCTGAGGCAGAAGGATCACTTGAGCCCAGGAGTTTGAGGTTCCTCTTCTGCCAGGCTGATGCTATGGCATTCTAGCCTGGGCAACAAAGTGAGACTTTGTCTCAATAAAAAAAGATTCAAAGGTGTATCTGTGGATGCTTTGAGAAACAACAGGGAAACCTTTTCATTCATAGAAGAAATTTGAAATTTCCATGTTGTGTTTTAGAATCTTCTCACAGGGTCAATGTGAAAAAGGCCCTGAGTAAATATTTATCAGGCATGAATATTCATCTTGAGGGGGAAAAGGATTCAAAGCAAAGGGTGTTTTAACTTTTTTCTTCTTCAAAATGCAAATGCATCTTTTTCATAGCTGTTGCATCCTGTATTGTGGGTAGACCTTTGCATATCAGTACCTGACTTTTTCTTAAAAGCCAATAAAGCACAATCTCATAGTGTGATAAAAGCAAGCAATAAAGAGTGATAGTATCTCAAAGATTTGGATCATAAGGAAATCAACCCATTAAACCTAAGACCAGTGGGCAAATAAGCCTTATGCCTAAATATGTGTTCTAACAAGGTATTAGCTCTCTCATCGGAGTGTTTTCAACTTTATCACCACTGTCTCTGGTTTCTGGGCACATCTTGATGTGGTTAACTGTCTGCATATGCTCTACATTATTCAAAATCGACAACCTGGAATAGCTGCCAGCATACAGGAAAAAAATATGTGTTGGTTCATTACATCTGTTCATTTCCTCTTCTGAATCTCTGATCTCAGAGGACTCTGAGCTAACCTAGGAAGGTAAAGCAGAAGAAAGTACTGACCTTTATCATCTTAATAAGTAACTGAAAAGCAAACACAGATGCAAATAAACAATCAGTTTTTATTATTTAGACATCAATATTCTCACGTGACTAGCTTGAGCTATGCAAAGTTTAAATTCAATCTGCCAGCTTTGAAATTTGTTGTAGATTTAAGGCTGCCTTTTACTTTATTTTATTTTACTCTGGGTTTTGGGTTCTTGATTTAACAGAACTAATTTTGCAATTACCACCTTGTTTCCTTCATGCAGTAAAAGCTCTGGCTCAGCTCTCCTCTCCCCAACTTCTGAGACTTTCAATGTCCTTGCCATAAGGCATCTTTTCATCTTGATCTTACTAATCATCAGTCTCAACTAACAGCTAACACTGAAGAATACAAAAGAGTCAATTAGTTGATATTTGTATGGACACTCAACTCTTTAGGAACCAAGATCCGTGAAATGATTTCTTCAATAGTTCATGGCAGCTGTGAATCCAGGGGCGAATGCAGCCTCTGTAATGAGAATGACAACTATATTTCCTCTCTGATGTAGATCTCTGATAAAAACAAAAACAAAACCAAATAAGTACTATGAGGTGATCTCAAAAAGCCCCTACACAAATACAAAGGGAATAATACTAAAATTAAGAGCTACCATTTCTTCCAAACCCATTGGTGGATTACAGCATTGCAATCCACATAGCAATTCTTTAAGACGGGTCCTATTCTCATCTGCATTCTACATATGAGGGACCAAGGACCTGAAGAGTTAGGTAATCTCTCCACAGTCATATAGCTAATAAGTAGGCTTAGGACCTGGATTCAAACCCAGGTCTGGCCCCAGATCACATGTCGTGAATCACTGCAGTGCACTACCTTTCTATGACTGGCCATAAACACACCATTTAAAAAAAAAAAAAAAAAAAAAATATATATATATATATATGTCATATATCATATTGTCAATGTTTTCCAAGCCCAAAATGAAGACACATACCTGGTTAAGTGATTTGTCTTGATTTCTGGGTTTGCTTAAATAAAAAAATGGTTTATATTTTTAAAAACCATAAAAATTAAGTTATTCAATTATATAATTAATGAATTGCCTTAACTTGAAAAAAAATCAAGTCACATGAAAAGCTAAAATGTTTGGTTGCCAGAGTCACAGGGAAGACATAAATTTGTAAATTAAAATTTATGTCAGCAACATAGCCTTAAATTTTGTTCATAGATGAGTTTTTTCCCTTTTTTTTTGAAAAAAAAGGCAAGCATATCATCAGCAGACATGTATAAGTTTAAAACATTTCCATGAGATTCCATTAAATATTAGCCTCTTTAATTGTCTGTTATTTACTTTGGCCTTGGTTTTCTCACATTATTATGTCAGCTCCTTATTTGAGGGTTGTGGAATGGCTTGGAGAAAAAGAGTGTGAAAGGCTTACATGGTACCTGCATATAATAATTGCATTTATTTTATATGTTATTATACATTTGAGCATTTTTTGGTTTTTTTTTGTTTGTTTGTTTGTTTGTTTTTTTGAGTCTGGGTCTCTCTCTGTCACCCTGGCTAAAGTGCAGTGGTGTCAACATAGCTCATTGCAAACTCAAACCCCTGGGCTCAAACAATCCTCTCCTGCCTCTTGAGTAGCTGGAACTACAGGTGTGTGCCACCATGCCTATAATAGCTGATTTTTCTATTTTTTGTAGAGACAAGGTCTTGCTCTTGCTCAAGCTGGTCTCGAACTCCTGGCCTCAAGCAATCCTCCCACCTCGGCCTCCCAAAGTGTTAGGATTATAGGCCTGAGTCACCATGCCCAGCCCATTTTTGTTATTAATGACACTTCCATCTAGAGAATGCATTGGGTGTGTCTGCCCAAAGTGCCTCTCTCCTTTCTTTGGGTAACTGCTCCACTCCGTCTCTGAGGGCTTCTTCCCAGTTCCATGGGGTTTGGAGAAACTGACAGTCACCCTGGCCACCCATGCTGGCTACAAGGGTGGGCTTATAACATGGTGGTGAAGACTTACCTGGAATTCTCAGACTGGGGAGTGAAAAAAATTCTTCTTTAACTTTGAATTAAAAGCTTTAAGAAAGTAACCTCAGAGCAGTCAAGAGTCACATCCATGCAACATGCCTGTAAAGGAGCCAGAGAGAATCTGAAGCCAATTCATGGACAGCTAACATAAGGAAAAATGTACCTGAGTCCAGCATGACTCTTATCCTAATAGGTACAGCAACAAATAATGTCACATTTATATGAGGCTTTCAGAAATTTGTAGTTGAAAAAAACTCCTGACCAAGTATGTTATTCCTTCATATATCCACTCATTCACTCATTTTTCATGCATTTATTCAATAGGTGTTTATTAGACGCCTACCACATGCTGGGTTTAGATGGAAAATTATATATCCTGTTCTCAGTATTTATAAGAAACTGAGAAGCTGGACAGGATTCAGAGGAAAATTACAATTCTGATTCTGATGGCAATTTTTTAAAGGTCTTAGACTTTAAGGATGGTTTAAGGCTTTCTGAAGGAGTACTTTGAGCTTTAGCTCTATATTGAAAGTAGGATATTAGGGGCCATACCTATCCTATAAAAATCTGAAACAAAAAATAGGTATTATCTTTTATTTAGGTTATTAAGTATGGAATGTTCGATTTCCTTAAGTACTAAGTTTGATGATATCTCTGAGATTTTACTTTGACACTCCTTGTTTTTGTTTCCTTTTTTTATTGTGAAGGTATTTATTTATTCTTTCAAATGCACATCTTGGCTTGTGGTTATCTCTCAATTATTTTTAAGAGCAATTTTTGTGAAACCACAGATAAATAAAAAATTCATGTTATTTTTTAATATGAGTTCCATCATGGAATCAATGCAACACAGACAGCTTGAAATATCAACAGAGTATTTGGGAAGATGTGGCTAATAACATGCAGTACATTGATGGTTTGAGAAGTTACATGCTGGTGATTTTAATCTTGAAAATGAGCCATATGGGTAACCTGAGACCAAGCTGGGCAATGATGAGCTGAAAGCTGTAGTGGAAGTGAATCCATCTCAACCTACGCATGAATTAGCAGAAAGGTTTGAGGTTACTATTCCAACAATATTGAACAATTGGAAACAAATGGGCAAGTTAAAGAAGCTGGATAGATGGGTTCTGCATCAGAAAATAAATCATCTCGAAGCTTGCCTTTCTTTGCTGTCATGACATAAAGGTGCGCAATTTCTATACTATATTGTTATATGTGTTGAAAAATGGATTCTTTTTGAGAATCATAAGCATTTGGCACAATGGTTGGATAATGATGAAGTGCTGAAACACAGTCCAAAACTGAATATTTATCAAAAGAAACTTAATGGTGTCTGTTTGGTGGTCCAGCACTGCTATTATCCACTATAGCTTCATGAAACCTGGTCAATCAATTACAGCAATGTCTACTGCAACCAATTGGATGACATGATGAGGATGCTTGTGATTAAGCAGCTGAGATTGGTCAATAGAGACAGACCAATCCTCTTGCAAGACCACATGTTGCACAAACAATGCTGCTCAAACTACAAAAACTGGACTTGGAAACTCTCTCTCATCCACTGTATTCACCAGACCTTGCACCAACTGACTACGACTTCTTCCGGGCTTTGAACCACTTCCTGCAAGGAAACATAATCAATTCTCAACAAGCTGTGGAAAATGCCTTTGGTGATTTCATTGCCACTCACTCTCCAGGCTTCTTCGCTGCTGGCATAAGCAAGCTAACATTAAAATGGCAAAACTGTGCAGATAGTTTAGGCATATACTTTGATTAATTGTATTGCTCCTTGTTTGAGATATAATAAACTAAACTTTTGATTCAAAATCAGACATTTCATATTTAATGAGTAGAATACAGAAATAGACCAACCACCAAAAGGTAACCTCTATTAATATAATGGTATATCCATTTCCAGTAAGATCTCATTTTGTGGGCAAATTTACAGGTCTGCATGTTGAAATTGTTCTGACCCATCAAATATTCTATTTTTTTTTCTTTTGTCACAACTAAATTAGATGACTGTTTAGGGTACAATAAAGATGCTTCCAGTGGATAATCAGAGCAGCATTGAGCTGTACCTTCTCATTAGAGGCACAAGTTCTGTCTAACTGACAACTGTCAGCGGTCAATCGGTTATGTGCAGCAGGAGATAATTAGAAAAGCTGCCTCAGCTGCCACTGGGGCAGTTAAGGATGACACATGTGAGAAATTGTTCATCCTGGTAGACCAAAGAGGAGGCAGCAGAAACCTGGAACATCTAAGTCGTGAGGCTTAACTAAAGCTGCAGCCTCTTCTCCCCACATATGAAGAAAACCAACTGCTCCATTAATTTGCTTATGAATTAGTTCCATCAGAAACAAATTCATTGGTCAATTGATTACAGCATATGACTACTGCACCCAATTGGATGAAATGATGAGGATGCTTGCAATTAAGCAGCCGAGATTGGTCTGTAGAGACAGGCCAGTCCTCTTACAAGACCATATGTCACAATAAACAATGCTGCTACAACTACAGAAGCTGGACTTGGAAACTCTCTGTCACCCACTGCATTCACCAGAACTTGCACCAGCTGACTTCCACTTCTTCCATGCTTTGAACCACTTCTTGCAAGGAAAAATATTCCATTCACAACAACCTGTGGAAAACACCTTTCACGATTTCATTGCCACTTGCTCTCCAGGCTTCTTTGCTGCTGGCAATAAACAAGCTACCATTAAGATGGCAAAACTGTGTAGATAGTTTAGGTACATACTTTGATTAATTGTACTGCTTCTTGTTTGAGATATGATAAACTAAACTTTTGATTCAAAATAGGACATTTCATACTTAATGACCTATATCTAAATGTCTGAGTCCTTTTATGGAAACCATTCCAGTGACCAGGGACTTGCTCTTTTCTCATCAATGCCTGAGCTTCATGGAAGTGACATACATAGTAAAAAACTACAACCCCAATTGATGTTGATGAGTTTGCCTTACAGCTGCAAGAAGTCTTTTATCATGGTTATAGAACATCCCTGTATTTCAGTTCATGGCTCAAACTGAGAATTTAGGGATTTGAGCTTATCACACTCTGCTGTAAGCCATTCAATATTATCAGAAGCAAGCGCCTACTGATATTTCATATCTTTCATACTGTTTTAATGGTGGTGACGACATGGTCCACCAGACCTTCTCCTCAGTGGATCCTTGATTACAGATGTCCATAGGCAATCATTTAATTCGCTATCTTATCACTGCAAGGCATGAGCTACTAGATCACCACCCAGGAGAATAATAGGATGTTCAGTTCCTTCTATTCTGTCTCAGATTGAGAACCAGTCCCTAATTCCCCACATTTCCTTGAAAGTTTGTTATCTAAAATCCTACTTCCTGACACAAATTTCTGAATAATGTGGTTAAGAGACTGTGTAGCTTTAAATCCTGGCTCTGCTATCTATTAGCTACGTGAACTTGAGCAACCTCTCTGCATTCCAGTACCCTTCACCTGGAAATCAGGATAACAGTGTCCCCCTCGATGGTAGATATGAGGATAAGGAAGTTAATACATGTAAAACACTTAGAATAGTACTTGGCATATTGAATGGGCTCAATAATTATTACTTTATTGCCATAAAAATAATGTTAATTATTATTCATATTATAATTATTATCAGCCCAAATAAAAGAAATCACATCTGGACATCTTAAACAAATAGAAAAGAGGAACTGTTGAAATATCTGGCATTGCAGTATGGATGCTAAGCAGGAGGGTCAGGCTGCTCTTGGCTGGGCTACCACAATCACGGCACAGACTGGCCAGCAGGACATCTGGTCCACACACCACCACCACTGCTGCTATGAAAGATGGCCCCAAAATTCCAGGTCTTTCTGTCAAGACTAAAGTTCCGGAGAAAGCATCTATTTGGCTAAAGCGACGTCCCATGCTCCTGGGCACTAACTGCCACCAAGACTACATAATAAGAGATTCCTCTAACAAAACTTGGGATGTTACTAGGACAAGAGAGTTGAATATTGAGAAGCCAAAGCATGACCAGTGTTAAGTACATTAGGTGATGCGCCGTGTCCCAAAATGCAAATGATCAATAATCCCTGGGTATAACACATGTGCCCAACATGAAGTTTCCTCTGATTTGAGACTAAATGAAGTTCAAGTGCCAAGGATAGGAGGCTTTTGGCTTTTTAGAATGTTTGAAGTGTCAAGTAACACACTCTTCCTGAGGAAACATTCCCCAAACAGACAAACATTGTCCAGCTTGCTCAACGCTACCAGAAACATCTCCTCCTCGCCAGACTTGTGCCATTTTACAGATTGGAAGCTCTGCTGTTCTCTCACCAGCTCCAGGAGAAGGGGGACAGAGGTCAGCATGGCAGGTTTCAGGGAGGCAGTGGACTTAGCTCAGCTTTGAAGGATGGGTCATTTTGTATAAGGAGGAAAAGCAGACGCCAGTCCAGACACTGAGATAAGTTTGAACAAACCAAGCCACCAGCATTTGCCTGTCTGTCTCATTTCATCATGAGAATAATGAAAGGGAAACTTTGAATAGAAGGTTAAGGCCAGTGTGTGGAAAGCCTTGATTCTCTAGCTAATATTTAAAGTTTTTTGAACCTACAAAGCTCAAAAAAATGTAGGGCAGATCAATGACCTTGATGATAGCAATATTTTAAAACTGAAGCATAATCTGATATTCCTGAAGCCTAGGTTGGAGACAGAAGGGCCAGAGGCAAGGACATAAGTTAGGAGACCATGGCCATGGTCCATTTCTTTCTTATTTCCTTCTTGGGTTTTTATGGGAGGCAACTCTGGGAGAAGCAAGGTATTTGCATCAAACAAAACTAAGGTTTTTATTATAAAATCAAAGAGCAGTGAAAGCCCATGGAAATAATTAGATGGGGTTTGGGTTATGAGCTAGATTGAAACATCTAGCAAGGCCAATTCAGATAATGGTGGTGGCAGTGGCAGTGGTGGTACAACAGGGTGAAAATCTGACAAGTCAGTGTGGCAGAATATTATCTGTCTTGTCTTCAACTATAGGATCATCGCCCCCCATATCCATATCCCCATATTTTAGAACATAGTCAGGCCTTCTAGTCCTTGAGATCAGAGGTCAGGGGCTGGGAGATGTTAACAGCCCTTTGTGGAGTTTCAGAACATAACGGAGAATTGACAAGAGGGGTCCTCTGCCAGGAAGGCAGCTCTTAAATAGATTGTTGTTTCTGTATCCTTGGTTTATCAGATAGCAAGCAGGACTACCACAAAGGGGAAGGAATGGAAGGAAGAGGGGTGTGGCCCAGTCACCCTGAGGTTGTTGGTTTTGGGGTAGGTGTGGGGACCTAGGCCTTAAAGGCTCATATGACCATTCCCATTTCAGTTTCTATCACTCCTGATAGATTGAAACTGAGTGGACTAACTCTTCCTATTTCCCAGGAGTTAGGACTTTCCATGTAAAACCAGGAGATCCCCAGGCAAACCCAGTTGGTCACTCTAGTCTTGGAAACTTGGTCACAGAGAAAGAGGACATTACTGAAGTTGCCTCTTTTCAAATGCAGTCATGCAATGGCAGCTCTGTTGGACATAGAACCAGGAACTGTGTACATTTTCTTAAGTGTGGTATTCATGCCTAGCAAGAATGGAGTATTTTCTGTCTCTTCAAGTAGTAATATCAACAACTATTTCTTGAGCACTTAGTATGTGTTAGGCACAATCCTAGGAATTTACATGCATTATCTCAACTAATTCCCACAACAAGCTTACGGTGTCAGTACAATTAAACATTCCCATTTACACCAGAAGAAATAGAGGCTGAGAAAGGTTAAGTAACTAACCCAAGTGCAGGCTGCCAGTTGTAAGCCTGAGAGATTTTCAAAGTCTACACTCTTAACTATTCACTAAACCATACTGTCTTATTTACAGAGTAAAGTGGATGCTGACAAGTCAAAAATTTATGGAAAATGTTTTTTGTCCTTTACACCTAATAATATTCTTAACCTATTTAAAATATTTTAATGACTAAAAAAGCTCCTGTGGTCTTACAGAATAATCTCTTGCTTTATGGAGGGGGATTCACTTATGGGGGATTCTTATCATGGCATAAACTGTTTTTTCCTTTGGAGATTTAATGTCAATGTACACAGAAAGAACAACAATTCAGAAGCAGTCTAAGAATGGTACAGTTACATTCTAAAGTACCTGTTTTACAGAACCTTTGTATCACCTTCCTAACAGCACCAATCACTTCATCAAAAACCACAGCATCTAAATCTCTCCTCTCCTCTTTGCAATCACTCAGCTCCTTTACAAAAAGGCTGTGCCCAGAGAAAGCCGCCTTCCCTGCATTTGCACCTGAGCTTGACTGCAATCTCTGAGGACAGAACCATTTCTCATTAGACCTTAGCTACAAGCACAGCCATGTGTCACTTAACAATGAGGATACATTCTGAGAAATGCATTGTTAGGCGATGTCCTCCTTGTGCGAACATCACAGAATGTACTTACACAAGCCTACAGCACACCTGGGCTATGTGGTATAGCCTATTGCCCCTAGGTTACACAACTGCTCAGTAGGTTACTGTAGGCAATTATAACACAATGGTAAATATTTGTGTACCTAAACAATCTAAACATACAATAGCTACAGTAAAAATACGGTATAAAAGATAGAAACTTGTATAAGGCAATTACCTTATACACTTGTATAAGGCAATTACCATGAATGGAGCTTGGAAGACTGAAAGTTGCTCTGAGTGATGTAGCGGTGAGGTGGCTGGTGAGTGAATGTGAAGCGCAAGGGCATTACTGTGCATTACCATAGACTTTATAAGCACTGCTCTTAGGTACACAAATTTATTTTTAAAAATTTCTTCAATAATAAATGATCTAGCTTACTGTAACTTTTTGCTTTATAAACTTTTTTACTTTTTTTAAACTTTTTGACTCTTGTAATAACAGCTTAAAACACAAATATATTGTACAGCTGTAACACATACTTTTTCATTATATTCTTATTTTATATGTTTTTTTCTGTTTTAATTTTTTATTTTGCTTTTAAAAGTTATAACTTTTTGTTAAAAACTAAGACACAAATACACACATCAGCCTTGGCCTAGCAAGGTCAGAATCATCAATATCACTGTCTTCCCACCTCCACGTCTTGTCCCACTGATTAGAAGATCTTCAGGGCAATAACACGCATAGAGCTGTCAAATCCTGTGATAACAATGCCTTCTTCTGGAATACTCCAAAGACAAGCCAGAGCTGTTTACAGTTAACTTTTTTTATATATAAATAGGTACACTCTGAAATAATGACAAAAAGTACAGTATAATAAATACATAAATCAGTAACATAGTCATTTATTATCATTATCAAGTATTATATACCATAATATTTGCTTGTGCTATACTTTTTATGACTGGTAGGTTTGTTTACACCAGCACACTACAAACACGTGAGTAATGCATTGCATACAATGTCATGAAGACTATGAGATCACCAGGCAATAGGAATTTTTCATTAGAATCCATGAGACCACGGCCATATATGCCATCCATCATGACAGAAATGTCGTATGCAGTGCATGACTGTATAAGATCAGCTTATCATTTTTAAAGTCTGCATACATTTTATGAGACTAATCTCTGAAATGGAGAACTTAGAGTGGAAATCGTTGAAGGTCTACAATGTTCTCAGCTCACTGGTTCTTTTTAAGAGAGCTTGGATCAAATAAGACCTTCAAGGGTCAGCAAGCTAAATTTTGATGGGTAACATAGTGCCAGAAAACAGCAAGTTGTAGTGTCATAGGAGAGCATTCAAAAAAATCATCAATTACCCAGGTCAGTTGCTGTCCTGCTTGTCATAGGACCTTAGCAAGTTAACATGCTAAGAGACGTTAGAGCGTCTAGGATGGGTCTCATTTAGTGCTCAGTGTCGGTATTCTTCACTCAGATGGGTCTGTCAGACAAAACAGGACACAGAAGTTGGAAACATGACTGGTGGCATCAGGTCAAACAGCACTGGCAAGTAAACCAGCTGACGTTTGCCTGTATAATACCATAATGAGCATACATGCTCCTTGACTTAGGATGGAGTTTATTCCGGTAAACTCTGTAAGTGAAAATATCATTGTGTTCAAAGTGTGTTTCAATAGGATATTTTCAATGTATAGTGAATTTTGCAGACGAACCCCATCCTAAGTCGAGGAGTATACAGAATGAGTATTGCTTTCACACCATTGTAAGGGGAAAAATTATGTCAAACCATTGTAAGTTGGAACCGTCTTGACTGGTTTTTGAGGTAGCCCTGAAGATTCGACACTCAGACTCCTTCCAAAGAATGGGAGCGTAGTTAATTGACAGTCTCAACCTCCAGCTGTTGCCTTGGCCTCCACCACGGCCAGCACCATGCTTTTCCTGGATAGTCCCAGCCAGAGACCGAGCATGGCTGGGGTCCCTGTGCCAACACACTCCTACACAATGTGGGACTCTTCTAAAGGCCAACCTTTGCTCCGAGACTCCCGTCGTTAGCGTGCAAATTTCTTAGAGTTGTGCTGTCAACTCTTTCCTACCTAAACATCCTTCCCTCTCTCTTTTCATGAGTGTCTCAGAAATGTCTCATAGAAATATACGTTAGCCATATATGAATGTAAATTTTCAAAGTAGCCACATTTGATAAGTAAAAAGAAACAAGTAAAATAAATAAATTATACACATATTTAATGATATAGTTATTATTTTAAATATTATTTCAATCTACAGCAAACATTTTAAAAGTCATTAAGGAGGTATTTTACATTCTCATATGTGTGGGGGTTTTGTTTTTGTTTTTTGGTGCTGAGTTGTAGAAATGCACAGTGTGTTTAACACCTTTTAACACAACCTCGCCACATGGCCAATGCTCCATGCTGCAGTCCCATAGCGCTGTGGGCTGCCCCAATGGACACCGCAGGGCCCAAGGCTCTTACTGTTCCATCCCCCTCGTCTTTCACAGACACTCTCCTCCACAAACCTGTCATTCATCAACCCTGTCTCAGCATCTGCTTCTCAGGGGATGTGACACAGTCTCTGCCCCATTGTCTCTGGTCCAAATACTGCTAACAGATGCAGATTTTTAAATATATATATATATTACTCAGCTTGCTCAAAATACTTTAGTAGCCACCCTTCGCTTAAGTGAACATCTCTCCACTTGAGTTCCATTGGTTTCCAAAACGTCACTACCGTTTGCTTTACTTGGATTCCCCCCACGCACCTCCCTCTAGCACGGTCAGTTTCCTCACAGTCCTGAAAACCAACCAACCACACTTTCTACCACCCTCAGTTGCTCACACTGTTCTCATCTCCTAAAATGCTATTTCTCTCCATTTCTCCACCTGAGGTTAATTTTTTAAGAATCATTACTGGTATTGTCCATCTGTACATTTAATATTTTAAATTTATATCTGGATACCATTGGCATATTCACATAAGAAGCACTATATGTAATTTTCAGAAGACAAACTAAATTATAATATTTACCTCCAATATTTATTCAACCAGTATGAATTTATAGTAGTCCCCCTCGTCTGTGATTTTGCTTTCTGCAGTTCAGTCACCAGCAACCTGAAAATATGAAAATATTTTGAGAGAGAAAGAGACACCACATTTGTATACCTCACAGTCTACTGTTATAATTGTTCCATTTTATTATTAGTTATTGCTGTTAATCCTTACTGTGCATAATTTATAACTTAAACTTCATTATAAGTATGTATGTATAGGAAAAAAACCATAGAATATATAGGGTTTGGTAATATCTGCAGTTTCAGACATCCCCTGGGGGTTTTGGAACATATCTCCTGCAAATAAGGAGGGCTACTGTACTCAGGAAGCACTTAGTAGACCATAAGTACTACAGTGAACACAAAGAAGGAGAAACTGTAAGTGTCAAGATGGGATGGTAAATTTTATGTGTCAACTTGGCTAGGCTATGTTACCCAATTGTTTCATCAAACACTAGTCTAGATGTTGCAGTAAAGGTATTTTTTAGATGTCATTAACATTGAAAATCAACTGACTTTACATAAAGCAGATTACCCTCAATAATGTGGGTAAGCCATATCCAATTAGTTGAAGGCCTTAGAAAAAAAAAGACTGAGGTTTCCAAAAGAAGAAGGAATTCTGTCTCAAGATTGTAGCATAGATACTCGAGAGGCTAAAGCAGAAGGATCACTTGAGCCCAGGAGTTTGAGGTTGCTGTGAGCTAGGCTGATGCCACGGTACTCTAGACCAGGCAACAGAGTGAGACTCTGTCTCAAAATATATATATATATATATTGCAGCATAGAAATTCTGCCTGAGTTTCCAGTCTGTTGGTCTGGCTTGCAGATTTCAGACTCAAGACTGCAACATAAACTCTTAACTGAATTTCCAGCCACCCAGACTGCCTTACAGATTTTAGACTTGCCAGCCCCCACAATCCTGTGAGCCAATTTCTTAAAATAAATCTCTCTATATACATGCAAATATCTATATATCTTATTGGCTCTGCGCCTCTGGAGATCCTTAATGCACAAGCGTTTTTTTTTTTGTTTTTTTTTCTTCAGTTGTGGAGATTAAACAGAAAAACTTGGAAAATTAAATGGTGGCACAAGACAATGTGTTACCAAAATAAATCATTAAATTGTAACTGTCGAATTTATAGTACAGACCCCACATGTTCAGGTGTTCAGGAGAAAGATACACCATAACTGGCTAGCCATCCAAATGAAAACCCAAGTACTCAAGCATTTTGGTGTTTAAATTGGAAACTATTTAAAATAAAAGCTAATTTGTTAACATCCCAAACTCACCGTTTTAAAAAGCGCATCCCACATTTGCTCTGGTTCTGCTTTTGATAAAGTATGTTTCTGCTGAGACAGAAAAGAAAGCATGACCTAGTTAAACTCGGGCAAAACTAATCTTGCAAGTTGATCAAAAAACTGCTTCATAAAAACTCCCTTGTTAAAGTGTCTTGAGAATACCTAAGTGAGAATTGAAACGATCCCAACCTAAATCAGGACAGAAAACTACAGTTTTCCAATGTTACACAAGAGAAAGGCTGTGTCGCTTGCTTCATTAGAGGGAAAATTTTAACAGGATTTTTTAAAAGGCTAACATTTCATTTTCCCTCTTTTACCCTCCTTTTTTACCATACCCGTACCCTCTTCTGCAAAACATTTTAAAATTGAGCAAACTCAGCTATGCCTCTCCTTTTTACCACAGCAGAAAAACTTGAGGTTTGTGGCTACTTAATCATAATCAATCGATGGGATACACAACCCAGAAGAAAAGATCGATAATAAAGGAAATAGTTTTCTATAAAAAGCCTAATGTCTGATAAAAAAAACTGTAATCTAAAGTATACAAAGAACTCTTAAAACTCAACAATAAGAAAATAAACAACCCAATTAAAAAATGTGGGAAAAACCTGAACAGATACCTCACCAAAGAATATAAATATGGCAAGTAAGCATGTGAAAAGATGTTCAATATCATATGTCATTAGGGAATTGCAAGTTAAACAACAATGAGATGTCACTACACACCTATCAGAATGGCCAAAACCCAACACAGTGACAACACTGAATGATGGCAAGGATATATAGCAACAGGAACGTTCATTTGTGATTGGTGGGAATGCAAAATGGTGCGGCCATTTTGGAAGACATTTTGGCTGAAGCTATTTACTTCATAAGGCAAAAGAATTTAGTAAATTTGCCAAATATGAGGTACTGTTAAGAATACAATGTTGAGATACTAATATATATCCCCCGATACTAAAAGAAGTAAAAAATGTTTATTCTACTATTTAACAGATCTACGCAAGGGGGCAATGACAAAGACATAATCTGAGAGATTTAGAGAAACGCCATGATCTGAACTTAGGATATTCAGGAATTAGATTTTCTGAAATTCTGCTAAAGAAATTTTTTTTACTGTGAATCTGAGTGTAGGAAATACCATTTAGAATTACAAGGTTCCAAATGCTCAAATATCTTTCTACTTGGTGTTAAAAGAGAATTTTATACATTTGTCAGCCTTTACTGTGTTACTCATCAAACCTTTCCATCTTCTCTGTGCCATATGTGCCTATCAAAACTCAGTCTCTTCACACCTCATGCAGTGCATGTTGGGAAAGCTACCCACTATTGGCCTCGAGCATCTTTATTTTCTTGCTGAGTATACCAAGAATACAAGGCTCTGATCACTTTTTACCCAAGCCATTTCTCAGGGTTGAGTTTGCAAGCTTGAAAGATGGGGCAACATCTCCCCTAAGACAAAGAGCAGGCTTGCTTCCGCTGACTATGAAAGTGGCAGATTCTCCAAACTCAGTGTGTCTCTCCTGTATGCAACTAACTGCATATGCGGGTACCCCTCTCGTCCACCTGTGCCATCCCCGCATATGTGACTCAGGGGCATGAAGCTCTGGCTATTGTTTATGCTTTTGTGAGCAATAAAGTTTCTTTTTTAAAAAATCTCTGACCCACGAGTCTCATGTCTTCTGCTAGCAGCCATGAAACAGGCTAACTTGTAAGTTTGTAATTAGGGTAAAATCTCAGACCATTCAAAGTTCCTGATAATACAATGGAAGAAGTGCTACCAATTACTTCCCCTCACCCCCCAAAAATTGATGCCACCATTGGTTCAACCAAGTGTTAAGCTGAACAGAGGAAAGTATTGAAAGGAGAAGGCTCAAAAAAGAATTGGAATGATGACTAGGAGAGTCGGCCAAAATTGGGCACTACCATGGAAGTTCTGAATAGACTCAAATGGTAAAGACAAACTCTAAAACTGTCTTTGAGGCCAGGATTGCCTACCTATTTCAGAGAGAATGGCAAAGTCTATATTTTGTGCCTCTTAACATTTCTTTCATTAATTCATTCATTTAATCAATATTTATTGAAAGGCCTGGGCAAGACTAAAGCGAGAAAATTTTCTAGAGATGCCAATAGAGTCCAGTTGTTTGGGATTCTCGCTATTATTTTGTAAGTTATTTTGCATTGTAAGTAAAATTCTCTTTCTCCTGTTCTATACTCATTCACATGCTCACAAAATACCTTTTTCAGGATCTCCTGAGTCTATTCCAGCTACATCTTTATTCTATATCTCCTTGTCTACAACGCTAGTGTCAAAATGTTTGTGAATCTTCTCCAATAAGATAAAAAGCCTTACTGCTAAACAATTGAGTAACAAATATTAATATTTTGTATGTTATGTGTATTACATACTGTATTCTTAAAGTAAGCTAGAGGAAGGAAAATGGTATTAAGAAAATCATAAGAAAAATATATTTCCTATTCATTAAGTAGAAGCAGATCATCATAAATGTCTTCATCCTCATTGTCTTCACACTGAGTAGATTGAGGAGGAGGAAGAGAAGGGGTTGTTCTTGTCTCAGGGCTGGCAGAGGCAGAAGAGGTGGATTAGGTGGAAGGGGAGGCAGGAGAGGTAGCCAGACTCAGTGTACCACATAAGTGGATCTGCACAGTTCAACTACAATATCAAAGGCACCAGAAAACACAGAGTATGCACCTATGAGCCCTGGAATGGAGAGAAGTGGTAGAAGGGAGAGAAAAGAAAAAATAGTTGACCCATAATTCCATCTTTTTAATAAAATTTAATTCAATAAAAATGTTAATGCTTTTGATCTTCATTTCTCAGACTTTTATATAGACTCACTTATATGTGAAATTATTATAATAATTTCAGAAGTACAATTTCATGTTCTTACACAGATTTTTTTTTAAGTTTTTTAAAGGAGGGGAAGAGAGTTGACCCCATTTCTGGTCATCAAAGTGGGCTACACTGTCTGTATGGAATACGATTCTGGCTTTTAAATGTTCACAAGAGAATGACAACGCTGCCTTCTGTGCATCTGCTCTCTAAGCACATCGTTCTCCTCTTTATCAGCAACATAGACTTCATGTAAAATAAGCACTTGTCAGACAAATCAACTATAATCCAAAAGCTCCCTTACATTTAATAAGACAGAGTAAAATGGACAAGCATACCACCTATTCTTTTAGGTTTCCCCAGCTCTATCTTGGTAGTGTTTGATCATCAGAAAGTGTAGTTCCAGAATCACACTATCGCAGCCCTTCAATTTCACACTATATTCTTCATACAGGGTTGATACTGGAAAATTTCATGCAAGAAACACCTTTTTCCTTTTTCACCGTGAACTAAAAGATTTACTCATGAAAAAAGACTCACATTGTAAATGTGTTGTGAGCTTTTGTTCTAGAATAAGAATGTTACTCTCTGTAGAGCTTTTTTCATATGCTTCCTTTTTCTAAAAATTAAAGCATAAAATAAGGATAATGTAACCCCAATGTGACTTACAGTTTGGCTCAGCTGCTGGAAAAGTCAGCCACATTTGTGACTCATTATAGCAAACATTTTACCTCGGCTTATCTGTTAATGTCTCTTCCTACTATTTATAAATAGTTTTAATTTCCTCATTACTGTTACTCTAAATTTTGCAAATCACATTAAGTCCTCTTAGATACAGACATTAGCATATATAACATGTACCAAAGGAGTGGTACATACACAAAGTATAAAGGAATAAATAGTTCAAGGGATCAGGACAATTCTGTGGACTGGAGGGGCCCAGCCTTCAGTGACTTCATTGTAACATTCAGATAGGAGAAAGGAGGACATTTCTGCAGGAATATTACTTGAAAAAATTTGGTGAAGAATTATTCTCTGTAATAGTGAACACATGCCTGATTGCTGCAAAATATTGGGTTCATGGGGAGGGAAATAGTGGAACATGAAGTTGCAAAGACATCAGTCTGTAGAGACTTTGAATATCAAGTTCAAGGGTTAAATTTCTACCCTCTACGTAATATTTTAACAGGAAAGTTGCTGGGGAAATTGCCTGGATAATAAAGATGAAGGTGGCATCATCCATAGGTCTATATCCCTCTGAAGGATAGTCCATTTGTTGTATGGATACTGAGAGTGTGTTTTTAGACATTTAAATGTAAGTCCCACTAGGGTATCTTTTTTATCATATTATGGGGGTACAAATATTGTTAGGGTTACATATATGGCCCCTGCCATTCCTCCCCCCATCCCCCGCCTTACCAAAACATCAAGCGTGTCCTACCCCCAGGTGGTGTGCATCACACCTATTTTGTAAGTATAAATTCTTCTCCTCCTCCCCACTCCCATCTGCCCACCACCTGATAAAAGTTTGGGTTTTTTTTTTCTTTTTTTGACCTTTGGGTTACATTGTATATCTTTGCCTTTCCCTAGGAAGGGTTAGAGAAATGGGCAATGGAAATGAACAGAAACTTCTCCAAAGAAGACAGAATAATGGCCTGCAAACATATAAAAAAATGCTCAACATCTCTAATCATCAGAGAAATGCAAATCAAAACCACAATGAGATACCATCTAACACCAGTGAGAATGGCTTATATCAAGAAATCCCAAAACAACAAATGCTGGCGAGGATGTGGAGAGGTAGGCACACTCCTACACTTCTGATGGGACTGCAAATTAGTGCAACCTCTGTGGAAAAGAATTTGAAGATACCTCAAACAGCTAGATATAGAAATACCATTCAACCCAGCAATAGCATTATTGGGCATCTACCCAAAAGAGCATAAGACATTCTACGATAAAGACATCTACACCCAAATGTTTATGGCAGCACAATTCACTATTGCAAGATCATGGAAACAACCCAAGTGTCCATCAATTCATGAGTGGATAATTAAAATTTGGTATATGCTCACAATGGAATACTACTCAATTCTGAGAAATGACAGTGAGCTAGCACCATTTATACCATCCTGCATTAAGCTTAAGCCCATTATCCAAAGTGAGGTGACACAAGATCAAGAAAATGGGCTCCACAT